TATTTCTGATGAACCTAAATACTGAAATCCTAAACAAAGTATTAGTAAATTGGTTCCAGCAATATATTAAAAAGATCATACACCATGACCAACTGGGATTTATTCCAGGGATTCAAGGCTGGTACAATATTTGCAAATCAATAAATGTGATTGATATATGACATAAACAAACTGAAAGACAAAAATCACATGATCATATCAATAGATGCAGAAAAAGCATTTGATAAAATCCAGCAACCATTTTTAATAAAAACTCTCAGCAAAGTGGGAACAGAAGAATCACACCTCAACATAATAAAGGCCACATATGACAAACCTACAGCCAACATCATACTCAATGGGCAAAAACTAAAAGCCTTTCCCTGAAGAACAGGAACAAGACAAGGGTGACTGCTTTCACCACTCTAATTCAACATAGTACTGGAAGTCCTTGCGACAGCCATCAGACAGGAAGAAAACAGAAAAGGCATTGAAATTGGAAAGGAGGAAGTAAAACTGTCATTATTTGCAGATGACATGATATTGTACATAGAAAATCCTAAAAACGCTCCCCCAAAACTACTAGATTTAATAAATTAATTTGGCAAGGTAGCAGGATACAAAATTAACTCCCAGAAATTGATGGCATTTTTATACACCAATAATGTTCTTTCAGAAAGAAAAACTAAGAAAGCAATCCCATTTACCACTGCAACAACACAAAATTAAGATATTTAGGAATAAACTTATTCAAGGAGGTAAAAGACCTGTACTCAGAAAACTACAGGATGTTGCAAAAAGAGATAGAGGAAGATATAAACAAGTGGAAGAATATACTGTTTTCCTGCACTGGAAATATTAACATCATTAAAATGTCCATAGTACCCAAAGCAATCTATAGATTCAATGCAATCCCTATTAAAATACCAGCAGCATATTTCACAGATCTAGAACAAACACTTCAAACATATATATGGAACCAAAAAGCCCTCAAATAGCCACAGCCATCTTGAGAAAGAAGGACAAAGTTGGAGGGATCACAATACCAGAAGTCAAGTTATACTAAAAGCCACTGTAATCAAAACAGCCTGGTCCTGGCACAAGATCAGACATATAGGTCAGTGGAACAGAACGGAGAACCCAGAAATCGACCCAAGCCATTACACTCGATTAATATTTGACAAAGGATGCAGGAGCATACAATGGAGTAAAGACAGTCTCTTCAATAAATGGTGCTGGGAAAATTGGACAGGAACATGCAAAAAAATGAAACTAGACCACCAACTTCCTCCATACACAAGCATAAACTCAAAATGGATAAAAGACTTAAATGTGAGACATGAAACCATGAAAACCCTAGAAGAAAACATAGGTAGCAATATCTCACACATCTCCGGTAGCAATATGTTTGCTGGTACATCTCCTAGGGCAAGAGAAACAAAGGAGAAAATAAACCAATGGGACTACATCAAAATACAAAGCTCCTGCACAGCAAAGAAACCATCAACAAAACGAAACGGAGCCCACTGTGTGGGAGAACATATTTGACAACAGCACATCTGATAAGGGATTAATATCCAAAATATATAAGGAACTCATACAACTTAACAAAAGAAAGGCAAACAATCCAATTAAGAAATGAGCAAAGGACCTGAATAGACACTTCTCCAAAGAGGACACACAGAGGCCAAGAGACACATGAGAAAATGCTCCAAGTCACTAATCATCAGAGATGCAAATTGAAACCACAATGAGGTGTCACCTCACACCTGTCAGAATGGCTCCATCAACAAATCAACAAACAACATGTGCTGGCGAGGGTGTGGGGAAGGGGAGCCTGGTGCACTGCTGGTGGGAATGCAGACTGGGGCAGCCACTGTGGAAAACAGTGTGGAGGGTCCTCAAAAAATTAGAAATGGAGCTGCCTTTTGACCCAGTGA